GAAAACCAATGTCAGAGTGTACCCCTTGTAGTCACAGGGATTCTTTTGAATTGTTTTCGTTTACTTCAGCAGGGGGGCAACGGCCAGTCTTCTTTCGTTGCCCAACGAAGCTACAGAAGACTGGTGGATGCATTCAGGGACGCCTGAATGTGTACCTGCTGAATTTTAACATTTGCCGAGGTTCTTACTTGTACTCTTAGGAAATGGTACCCTAGGCCGGCGTGTGGCACCGCAGTCAGTCAGTACGCATATCCATAAGTGTGTCTCTCCCAGTGAGAGTCCGGGATGAGCCCGTAGAGTGCCTCCCGTGGACCCGTCGAACGGGTGTTAGTCCTCGTCCCTGCGCGCGGGACCAGAGCAGCTCGCTGCAAGCGTAGGTGGCCTAGGCCGAGAGAACTCAGATTTCTGTCTCATCTTTGGAATTCCAAGTTGGCTTATGCCTTTACGTGACCGTAGCGGTCAAAGCTGCCAGCCATCTTGGCACGGCGTACGTGGCCGCACCGGCCGAAGTTTGTTCAAGGTTCATTGGAACCTGTCGCGAGCTTAGTCCCCCCCCCTTCCCCTTCCCTCCCCCTTTCTTTCTTTGCTTTTTGGTGGTTTCTTGAATGGAATACTCAGGATATCCCCTTTCTTTCTTTGGTGTGTCCCTGGACGATTGCTCGTAGCTGGGAACATCTGCCTTTTCTTTTTTCTTCTTTCTCTCCTCTCCCTTTCTTTCTTTCTTTCCTTCCTTCTTTCTTTCTTTCTTTCCTCTCTTCACCTTCCTTCCTCCCTGGATGCTTTTGTCATAGCTGGGAACCCTTCTCCTCTCTTCCTTTGGTGTGTCCTTGGACGCATGCGTCGTAGCTGGGAACACATTCCTTTCCTTTTTCTCGTCTCTCCCTACCCCTCCCCCCTGTCGAGACCTTAGCTTGGGATGCGACTAGGGGCTCCTGGCCTTCCTACTAGGTGCTAGGGTGCTACTTTGACGCTACTAGAGGTTCCTGGCCTTACTACTACTTTGTCCGTACCTTCAATACGCCTCCCCTCGGGGAGGCGTGTGTGTGTACCCCTTGTAGTCACAGGGATTCTTTTGAATTGTTTTCGTTTACTTCAGGAGGGGGGCAACGGCCAGTCTTCTTACGTTGCCCAACGAAGCTACAGAAGACTGGTGGATGCATTCAGGGACGCCTGAATGTGTACCTGCTGAATTTTAACATTTGCCGAGGTTCTTACTTGTACTCTTGGGAAATGGTACCCTAGGCCGGCGTGTGGCACCGCTGTCAGTCAGTACGCATATCCATAAGTGTGTGTGTGTGCTTGATTTTTTGGGTGGGAACAAGCTGGTAGCTTTGTTTGACGTAGCAAGGTTGTTTGAACCCCACTAGTTAGTTCCCTACACTTGTTGGAGCACCATCACATGAACCGCTTGGAACGTCATGGCATATGCTGATTAACGGTTTTCCTTCTCCAAGAATGTGTGAAGAGTTTTGATGAAATCTATGTAGGCGAATGGGCATCAATTGGCTGGCTCCCAGTATGCTTGGATCACAAGCCAGGGAAATGTATTCTTGGCAACTAATCAAGAGGTCGTGGAGATGTTTCACGCCCCTCAATAATCAAGATGAGGCAGACCATCAAATAGAATTGATCACAGGTATCATCGTATCTTCCCATAGACTTATAGAATCATAAGGAATCCCAAAGGAGTCTCATAGTATTAGTCAAAGAACCTCGAGTTTAGGCATCTAGATGCTAAAAAAACATAATCCGGAGTAGGTCCCTAGTCCCTGGTGCTTTCGTCTCCTGGTCCTTTTCCTGGTCCGCTGGCCTCGTGGTCAGATTCACATTAGTTGCGATTTTGGCGCGACCTCTGCAAAACAAAAAGTTTACCCGGTTGCCTTAGTCCTTGTATCACTTTCTGCCATTCATTGATGCGGCAATGGCAATGGGGTGTGTAGTTTTCGATGCTGATTTATATATTTTGTGGTGCCTTCTGAGTCTGGTGGCTTTTGATTTTGCTTCGCTCTGGGGGGAGGCACTGCGCCCTCCCTCCCAACCCCTCTCGAGCGCCACAAAATCCGCACTACTTTATGCCATTGCACTGCGCCTGCCACGACCTGACCCATCGCATCTCCACACCAAATATCGCATGCCCTCGCCTAAGTTCTTTTGATCCTGTGTTGCAAACATCCCTTCATTGATTGTCCTTTGGTGGTTGATATGGCCCACCTTTGCGGTGTCCAACATTTCTATCGTTTGGTTATCTTGTATTTTGTTAAAATTTGCTTTGCGGGAGGACTGCCTGATCCTTTTGTCGCCCTCCCTGCTGCAGTTTTGCCCCTGCCAACCTAAATTATTTTGAGGTGACCGTCTCGTCTCCAACTATTTTTTTAAAAATAATATCCATAAAGTATTATTTGGAAAGGCATGTAGGTGGTGGGTCAAAATAATATCTACCATGTAGAAAAAATATGGTATGGCATGTTGCAAAATAACAAAATACTATTTTGATATATTGTTTCCAAATAATTTTTAGCACTGAATGACATAGAATAATAATAACCCGTGGAAGAAGGTATGATGCAGGGTTTATTGGAAATTATTTGGCAGGTGGAGGGGTACGTGTGCCAGAGCAAAAATAATTTGATGTGCTTGTCCACAGAGCTGAGACAATCAAGATATAAAATATAAACCACACAGCATGATAAGATAGGGGGAAGAAGTGGTATAGACCACCCACCTAAGTGGGCAGATATATGGGGACAGCTCCTAGGAAAGTGTTCAGTAACAGCAAACGTAGGTGGTGCAAGCGCAACCACCTACAAAAAAAATCGCGCCCTCTTTTCTGCCATTCTCTCTCGGTTTCTCTGTCAGATAGTGAACGTCTGACTCCCACATCAATCAGCTATGCTCTGCCACCAAGTCATCGTTTGTCGCGCTGCAATCAGTTTGAACTAGCCAAGGCACACCTGATCCAAAACTCTGGTAGCCAAAGCAGCCGGCTTCACACTCTCATCAAATTCTCGCTGGGATCCATCCTATCAGGGGGCTACCTTTATCTGGGATCCATCCATTCGAGCACAAACATAATATTATTTGGCAGGTGGGCTACAGTACCTGTCATCTACCCCCAAAATAAATAGTTACTTTAATATTATTAATGATGTCTGTGGGGTAAGCCTTGCCCCCCTTACTGGTTCCTTCTACTAAACTCCTGAATGTTTTCAACCTTTTCCATATTTTCCATGGAATAAGTGGCAAATACTGGCAACATTCCCCCCACCTTATTTATTATTTAACAGGTCGTTTAGGGGGTACCCCACCCCTGAAATATTTTTATGGACCATATCACGCTATCCACATATTCCAGTCAATCAGTCGATCTACTAATTATTTCAGAGGTCCCTTAGGCCAGCCCCACCCCTGAAATACGGCGATTGTTTGACCTGCCTTGGACAGAGATCTTGCTTGTCCTCAATATGTTCCATATATTCTCCCGGATCGGCTGCCCCATCAAGGCAAAAAGACTGGACTGACGTTCACGGTACCACAGAGAAACCGAGAGAGAATGGCAGAAAAGAGGGCGTGATTATTATTTTGTAGGTGGTTGCGCTTGAACCACCTACGTTTGCTGTTACTGAACACTTTCCTAGGAGCTGTCCCCATATATCTGCCCACTTAGGTGGGTGGTCTATACCACCTCCCCCCCCCTATCTTATCATGCTGTGTGGTTTATTATTTCTGACCTAAGTTACCTCCATATAATTCTGTGCTCAGGTGGGTACACCCACCTAAGAATAATAAATATATTACTTTGAGGTGGGTGGGAGGGAGGGTGGGCAGCTGGCAGGGGCTATGCTGCAGTTGTCCTTGATCTAGTTGTCCTCCCTTTTTTCTTTTTGATCCGAACAATTCTTATTTGTTTGATCCTTCTGGTACGCCGTGACGGACGCACCCCCGCATGGTTTTGAATGTGTTTCTTCATTTCCAGGGATTCCAGGGTATCAAACGAGCTGGGCGACAGGGCCGGGGTCGAGGACACGGTTCAAAATTAATCCGGAGACTTGCGAGTACTCAGCCAGTTGGGGGGCCCCCAAGTAAAATCTGCAATTCGCAAATTAACCGAACCTACCCGGACCTACCCTCGATTAATTTCACCAGAAACAATCAGGGGTACCGTCAAGTAATCTCATCATGTTTAGTCACTGGGTAATACCTTCTGTTGTGAGATCAAGAGTCAGACACCTGCCTGCCACTTTACGACGTCCTGAGAGTTGGAAAATTAGAAACTTTGTCCACAGCCAGAGAAGGTTGAGCAGTTCATCACAGCCCGTCTACTGGGTCGGAGGACTCAAAGGGAAAAATGTTTGCAAAGTTCGACATTAGATTGTTCTATACGGCTGGGGACCACGTGACTTGCCTTCCTTGGCTCTTTGCCCATAGCATTGGAGCTCAGTGCTCTTATGTATGACATTGTATGACATGTCCAAGTCAAAACAAATGAAAGATTCAGTCATCAATCGTCAATCATCTTTGGATTCTTCCTCGGAGAGATCACTGCAATCTGAGGACAAACAAAACAAGGATTGGCAGCCTGGTCTATTCACACCTTCTGACTGCTTTGGTAATTGCCTGCCTTGAAGGCACATTCAAGCTTCATGGAGCACCCTTTGGAATTCCTTGGTCCGGGTGATGAACCCATAGTGGCGCCCAAAGAAGACTAGCATTATTCAATGGCCTTTCAAGGCCCTGAACTGTAAGAAGCACTGCACAATTTTGAGTCCTCATGGCGTAGAGATCAACCTCAGGCGGGTGTTGCCAGGTGTCACCTTGATTTGCCAGGTAGTCTCCCTCCTGAACAGTGACACGTGTAATGCAATGTAATGCAGCATGTGTGAACTTGTTGTGCGAGCGAAAACACGTTGTCATGACATGTCAGACATTACTCCCGTTTGCTGCATTGATTAGAAATTTGTGAACCCTCCACATTGGAGTCTGAATTCTCACTGCTGTGGCTCAGCTTTTCGTAGTCCGCTCAATATGTTGTCCACCCGTCGGCTCATGTGGGCTTTGTATTTAGTCATCTCTGTAGCAGCGGCTCCTTGGACTAACTTCAACGGCACACATGCTGGATTTTGGCGAGTGTGTCTCAAATCCTGTGGAAGGCAAGTGGAACGCGATGGAGTTGGAATCCTCGGATTCTAAAGTTCAAAAAGGCAAATTTGTTGGCAAGTAATTACAGCATGCTGAGCACTCTCAGCAGAGGTCACCGTATGCGCAAAGCTGCACGAAGAGGTAAAAGTAGGTTTCCGGCTTAATTCTGGGATACTCTCCCTCCAATCATTGCAGGGGTGTATTCAGTGTATTCTTCTGATCAGCCGCAAAGCAAGGCATTGGAGAGTTACAGAATAATTTTCTCACCATGTTGGCGCATGAGGTTCGGCTGGACACCGGCAAACAAGTGGATGTCAACGGCGACAGTAGCTTGCTCCAATAGCCCGTTTTCGGTTCTCTTCCCAGTGCACGACGATTGAATGTGTTTTCAAGATTTTGACTAGCAGCGCTCGTGCTGCCCAGCATGTGCAACACCTGGAAATTGCAGGACTAGCTCAGCTGGAAGTTGAAGCTGACCTGGAGTCCTTGAGGTTTGTCTAAGGAAAGTTGTTCAATGGAAAAGGTCTGTATGGTGCCACAGCTTTCCAGTATCGTATTCCATATCCAAGCAGCGGGAGTGTGACAAACCAAGGCCTACTCATAAAGGCAGTGCATGAAAGCGAGAGGAAGCTGCCATCCCTGCCAGCAGAGTGGAGAAGCTTGTCAGGGTTGAATAGAAGTCCCAGTTTGTTTTGAAGCAGTGTTTGCAGGTGCCACACAAGGAACATAAAGGTTAACAAGCAAATAAGCAAGCAAGTCAACTGAAATCATAGAAGTGTATTTGCAACAGTTTGCTCTTTGTCTTGGTGCATCAGGAGATCGCTTCGAGATTGAGAAGGAACTGGCTGAAGGTGGAGATGGAGTTGTCTACAAGTTGCACGTCCTTTGCTCCCTGGCAAAGAGGTGGACTTGGCTTTTGCCGGACTGTGTTTGGGTAAGTGGGTAAGCCAGGATCTTGAGGTGTCTTCATTTATCGCGACTACTACTGCTACTTCTACTACTACTCTTACTAGTACCCACCTTGTTACTGCTCTTGCTATTCTTAGTACTCTTACTGCTTTTACTACTTTCATCACTCTTACTACTCTTACTCATTGTTACTGACTGACTGACTGACTGACTGACTGACTGACTACCTGCTGCTTGTGCTGCTGCTGCTGCTGCTCCTACTACTACTACTACTACTACTACTACTACTACTACTACTACTACAGTACCACCACTAGTACTAGTACTAGTAGTAGTAGTAGTAGCAGCAGAAGTAAAAAGTACGACTACTAGCCTACTCCTATTCGTACTCCTATTCCAGCTGTTCCTGCTACTGCTCCTGCTCTTGCTACCCCCACTACTACTACCATGTTGGGTGGGCGTGCGCTACAGATCATGTTCTTGCCTGTTGAACATGTTTCTTTGAGCACTTGCAAGGTGGCAGTGGCGATTCATTTGTTTCAGAGACTTGGCCCAACATGTCCCAAACATATTCACGAAAGGCTAGAGTCTAGAGAACTTTGCTGGACAGTATACATGATTGTTTCCTGCAGGCCAACTCACTTGTTTCCTTTTTAGTCAATCGAGAGTAATTTACTTCCTGGAGGATTGTATTCCTGGAGGTGACAGACGGACAAAAGAAGCTGTTACGGTACTGCTATTCTCATACCATCACTGCTACATACTTTCGCTAGGAGCATTTTTACCGCCCACAAATACGCACAGGTTTCTGCGCGTGTGACATGAACACTGCATGACAATGAGGACATGGAGGGTGAGGCAAACATAAATTGGTCGGTATAGTCTAGTTGCTAGTTGCTATTGTAAAAGTTGTTATTTAATGTCGCTGTGCCGAGAGTTTTCTTCTTCGTTCAGTTGCCATGCGTGGCCTCAGATTTTGTGGGCACGCTGAGTTTGTCGCACGTGTTCCTGTTGCGAGTTGGCAAGTTTGCGGACATCGGAGAACTTACCGTCAGTCTTAAAGAGTTGACTTTGGTGGGTATGTTCTTAGTGGGTAATTTTAGAACTGTTTGTGCAGGTGTGTTCCGGGGACCAATTGCCTGTGACACTTGCAAGCACAAACCAGTTCATGAGGTGACGCCCTTCAGACCAGACCCTTGAGCACACATGCTCAAAAGAGGTGTTTTCAGCAGGAGGACATACCAAGATGAACTAACGCATGAAACCATAGGGGCATCGTTTTTGGGGCGCCCCGTATCGTTTTCCATCCAAAATTTGAAATCGCACTCTTGGATGAAACGCCCTTGCATAAAGTACACGACGATCAGGTTGAACACGATTCACATACGGCAAAAACATCCCGGCGGAATCATTACCGCCCCAGGATTGTGTTCTTTTCGAGTTTTGCTGCAAGACAAGGATTCTCAGATCGAAGTCTGAAGGCAAACAAGAAGCATTTTTGGTGCAACCCTTACAGCATTTGCTGGTCAAAAGGTACTCCCTTTGGCACGTTCGCTTTGCATGGTTTTAGCACATTTTAGATTTTTTAAAACGTGTTTTGCTCGAGTACCAGGGGTGAATGCAAGTACCACCGTGTCTGAAGTTCGGTGTCAACCACCAAAAGCACAGCACTGAGGTGGTTCATGGCAACAGCTTCTGGAGTCCAATGTGCATGCTTTGAGTGACAATGTTCGGGAAGATTTTCAATATTGTTCATATATCGTTCTATATCTACGCCGATACCAGAGAACCGGAATGATCCCAACAAGAACTTGCATCTCACCAAATGCTTTGCTTTCTTTATCGCATCTGTCATTGGGATTGCAAACTTCTCAGACTGAACTTTGGCCATGGCATTCTGCACTCTAACGCTGAAGTGATCCCGAATATGGGTCACTGTGACACAACAAACAAAGTAGCTACCACATGCGTGGAACATGTTGCACTACAGGCCAACAAACGATTCTGGTGTCCTTACGAACGTGTCTCCCTGAAAGTTTTTCATATCTTTAGGTGTTCTGTTGTCAGGTGCAAAGGTTCTCTGCAGATGTTGATTCATTTTGGTATGGTTTCCGTAGTCCTTGTGGAGTCTAAGGCAAAGCTTGTAACAGCAAAGAAAGGAGTTGCAAAAGCAGCTGAGAGGATGGGCCTCGGGGCGAAAACTAGTCAGCTACAGGGCGCGTCATCCAGCGGATTGAAATTAAGCAGGTTTTGTCCTGAACCCTCTTCGAGGGTTTTCTGGGTACTTGTGCGCGCTCGTTCTCCAATTTAGATCAATTAAGTACCCTGTAGGGCTGCCCGTTATCTTGCAGATCAATAGACGCAGTTGCCAAAGCATTTTTACTCATCCTGTTGACGCTGGCTACAAGAAGCCTCAGCCAATCCGTGAAGGGTGTGGGTAATCGGAGGGTGCACAAGTACGATCCCCGTCACAGACATGTGTTTGAAGAGCTACTTTTTTTTTATGTAGAGAGAGATGAGAGATTTGCTATGAGATTGGAGGCCATCGCTAATTATTGGGTTGGAGGTTATGTATATATATATGGCGCCCCTCAAAATGTCTACCTCTTTTGGTTTTGATTGGTATGCGCGGTGTTTTTTGCACATTGTGAAAGCGGGTGCCACATATATACATATATATATATATCGTACCCCCCTCCCCAAAACCAACCCTTTCATAAAATTTATTGGTATTTACGACGCTTTACGCATGTGTTTGGGTATAAAAATCTAACAAAAAACAAGCCACTTCCCAATTCAAAAACAAATGAAAGGAAACGCCCCCAAAAAAAGGAACAAATATCACCAGTGACAAAAAGCGGCAAAATAACAGAACCAAACAAACCAAAAAAACAGAACGAACGAAACTTTGAGGAGAATGTTTGGTTCAGTTTCAAAAAATGATTGTTTTTTGGTGTTCATTGCGATGTTTTGGTTTGGGGTTTTGCCATCCAAAAACCAAACTATATTGTGTTTTTTGTTTTTGAAGGTTTATTGTATTAGAATACCACCAAAAGCTAAAAAAAACACAATGTTTTTTGGCTTTTTGATGTCAAAGCAAAAAACACAATGAAAGCAAAAAACATTTTTTGAGGCTGAACCAAACATTATCCTCGAAGTTGTTTTAAAGTCTGTTTGTTTTGTTTGCGCTTTTGTCCTTTGGGCTTTTGCATAACCTGATCTGAAGCCTCTCTTCTTAAGCACCTTCTTTTGTTCTTGTCTTGCGCGAGCTATGCCTCTCATTCCTGGGGGTGTGATTTTAAGAAAACAACCTTTTAGACAGCAACACATAGATTGTATACAAAGCGTTCATTTTAAGGGCAAGACACACTCTCTAGAAGCAAATTAGAATTGCGTAACAGCCAAAATTAGATTAGACAACGAATAGAATTATGTTAGGTCTAAACATAAACTGCATAGAAATTGAATTGAAAAGAAGTCAGCGCTAAATAGAAACCAGTTAGCGTTGATTTCCGATTAAAATAGAATAAACATAGAAGTTACTCAACATTAAAATTGAATTGAATGATAATTGAAATAGATGTTCTTTTAATTTCAGTAGAGGTAAATGAATTTGAATCGAAGTTAAATTAGGATCAAGCAAAGTTAAACTTGAAATCAAAATAGAATTAAACTAGAACTGTAAAACAACTGAAATTGAATGGTACAAGATGTAGACTAACTGAAACTAAAAGGTAATTACAAATAGATTAAAATATAAGCAAGACTAAGATTGAATGAACACCCGACTAAATTAGAACAATAACTTCGAGACAACTAAAAAACACATTAGACTTAAATTGGGTTTGAATTGAAACTAACCTAAGATTTGTTCAAAGTTTTACTGTTTCAGTTAGAATTGGGTTAGAATTAAGATAGAGCTGAAATAGAAGTGCTTAACCTGCAGCTTGATTACTATTCACTTACTGCAATAATGAATGAGAATTAGACTTGAATGGAAATTAAAGCCAAAATGACATTTACAATAGAACTAAATTAGAATTGAACTCAACTTCAATTAGAGTTGAATAAAATCAAACTTGGATATTGAAACTAAACTTAAATTAGAAACCAAGTAGATTTAAGCTTGATTTTCAATCAGGTTCAAATTCGACTTGAAGAATTCTTACTTTGGAATTGAGCTAGACTTAAAAAAAAATAAATTAGAGTTCAGTAGAATTAAATGATACTAAAAGGTCTCTATATTTATGAAATCAGTCCAATTTTGGTTCAAAAAATTACTTTACTTCGAGTGATCCCCACCATGACATTTCAATCATTTGTCTTGATGCCATAGTGAGGAGCATGTTGCCATAGTCGTTAGTATTGTAGTTCTCGATGTTGCTTGTGGGTCCTCGGGTTGTGTGCTGTGGTTGTGTGCTGTGTTGTGGTTGTGGTTGTGTCTGTGGTTGTGTGTTTGTGGTTGTGTTTGTGGTTGTGTGTTTGTGGTTGTGGTAGTGGTTGTGATTGTGTGTTTGTAGTTGTGGTTGTGGTCGCGGTTGTGTCTTTGTGATTGTGTGTTTGTAGTTGTGGTTGTGGTTGTGTCTTTGTGATTGTGTGTTTGTAGTTGTGTTTGCGGTTGTGTGTTTGTGGATGTGTTTGTCGATGTGTGTGTGGTAGTGGTAGTGGTTGTGATTATGTGTTTGTAGTTGTGGTTGTGGTTGTGTCTTTGTGATTATGTGTTTGTAGTTGTGGTTGTGGTTGTGGTTGTGTCTTTGTGATTGTGTGTTTGTACTTGTGGTTGTGGTTGTGTGTTTGTGGTTGTGTGTTTGTGTGTTTGTGGTTGTGTGTTTGTGTGTGTTTGTGGTTGTGTGTTGTGTGTCTGTTTGTGGTTGTGTGTTTGTGATTGTGTCTTTGTGGTTGTGTTTGTAGTTGTGTGTTTGTGATTGTGTTTGTAGTTGCGTGTTTGTGATTGTAATTGTGTTTGTGTTTGTGATTGTGTGTTTGTGGTTGTGTGTTTGTGGTTTTCTGTTTGTGGTTATGTGTTTGTGATTGTGTCTTTGTAGTTGTGTTTGTATATAGTTGTGTGTTTGTGATTGTGTTTGTGGTTGTGTGTTTGTGGTTGCGCGTTTGTGGTCGTGTGTTTGTGATTGTGTGTTTGTGGATTTTATCTGGCAAACTATCTGGTTGAGGTCCAGCGGTGCACACTGCGATCGGATCCTTGCGGTTGAG